AGAAAAAAAAATATTTTTGAACTTTTACAGTCTCATTCTTTATCTCAAACAACGATTTGTTTACAGACTTCATCGTTTCTCTTTGCAATTTTGTAACGCTATGCTTCGTCTTTGTCTCGCTTGACGACGATTACGTTGCACTCATCTATATTAAAACCGGTTAGAATGTAGTCGAAAGTCGAAAAAATAACTGTTATTTTCGGTCCCTGTTAGTAACTAGAAGACCCGAATTTTTAGTACCGGTTACAAATTTCGTAAAAAGTGCAGTGGTTCTGCCCATTTTTTAATTTAAATAAAAATATACTTTGCATAAAGATTTCTCTTTATATCAATTTTTTTTCTTCTCTTCTTTTTTGGCGCTGTAATCGCCTAAGCGATTTTGGCCGAGTTCAGCAAGGCACGCCAGTCGTTTATCTTCTGTGCCACCTGACGCCAATTGGAAACGCCAAGTGAAGCCAAGTCCTTCTCCACCTGATCTTTCCATCGCAGTGGGCCCTCCCCTCTTCCTCTGCTACCACCCTTCGTTGGATTTCCATGTTGACATTATTATCGGTGTTAAAGCTGGTTCGCAAGTAAACGAAATTCTCTACTTTAAAAAAATTGTAACTGTGAACAGTGACGTGGGTGCCAAGGCGCGAATGTGCTGACTGTTTGATGACAGGAGATACTTCGTCTTGTCCTCGTTTACCACCAGACCCATTCGCTTTGCTTCCCTATCGAACTTGGAAAAGGTAGAACAGACTTCGCGGTTTTTGTAACCGATGATGTCAATGTCATCGGCATAAGCCAGCAATTGCACGCTCTTGTAGTAAATTGTTCCTCAGCGGTTCAGTTCTGCAGCTCCTATTATCTTCTCCAACGTCAAATTAATGAAGTCACATGAAAAGGAGTAGCCCCTTTGGTGGCGAACGGCTCGGAGAGGTCTTTCCCAATTCTGACGCAGCTGGTGGTATTGCTCAACGCCATTTTACACAGCCGTATGAGCTTTGAGGAGATGCCAAATTCAGACATAGCCGCGTATTGGCAACTCCTTTGCTGTCGAAAGCGGCTTTAAAGTCGACAAATAGGTGGTGAGTGTCGATCCTTTTCTCGCAGGTCTTTTCCAAGATTTGGCGTATTGTGAATACCTGGTATATGATGCCAGGTCTAAAGCTACACAGATAAGGCCCAATCAGTTCATTGACGGTGGGCTTCAGTCTTTCACACAATACGGTCGATAAAACCTTATAACCTATGCTTAGAAGGCTGATCCCGCGGTAGTTATTTATATCAATTCAGTAACTAATAATTTAAATATCGTAGTTTGCATTTTTTTAAATACTGTAATATATAGAAAGTGGGCGTGGTTATTAACCGATTTCAAAATTTACCAACACTTTTCTAAGTATGTAATACTATGAGCAATACGTTAACCAATGTTATGAAGAGATTCGTTAAATTATTGAAATTGGTAACCGGTACAAAAAATGCGACTTCAATTTTGAAAAACCCATAATAATTAATATAAAAGGGCGTAATCATTTTGCTTTTCTAAAAATTGGTAACCGGTATCAAAAACCCGGGTTTTTTGAAATTGGTAGCCGGTAAAAAAAGTCCGATTTATTTTTTGAAATCACCGTCAATTAGTGTTTGCAGTAGTGACGTTTGAATAAATTACGACCAGTTCCTGCATATATCCCTTTGTGCGCCAGTGCTAGTAGCTGCGATGCGGTAATTGCCAATAGATCTTAATTAATTAAAAATATTTCCAGTCAAACTGACAGATGCAGCATTTTCTTGTTTTGACTAAAATATCTTTCTGAACAGCGGAGTACCTTTTTTATCCTGTTTGGAAATTTTTCCACCTTAAGTCCTATATTGACTCTACTAATTCGCGATTGGAGAAGTAAACTGAGGCATATTATGCTGCATACCTCTTGGTATTATCCCCGCAAACATATTCTGAGCGTTCAGAATATATGAGTCCGAAAGGTGTCCTAGGTAGGTAAGAAATATGAGTTTCAAAAACAAAAAATTTTTACTCTTATATGAATCTTTTAGGATTCATATATGAGCCAAGTTATGAGCCAGCACCTTGTGCCAATATAAAAACAATAAAGATTTGAAATTTATATCTAAACTTGTTTATACAGAAATTGAAAATAATTAGAAAACAAAAAATGAACAAAATTTAGCTTCAGCTGCTGCTATTGAATGCATGTTGGAATGTGTATATGCATGTAAGTATGTATGTATGTTATTTGCAAGGACTTTTTGCGGAATGCCTTTGCAAATATAGTGAGTTGAATAAGACTCAAAGAGCAACCTAAAATAAGAGTCCGAATGTAGCAATTTATGAGGCCGATAAGGGTCTCAAAAAGAGTCATTTATGAGGCCAAAACTTGTTTTAAAAGAGTCCAAAATGAGCCGTATATGAGGCCAATAAGAGTCCAATATGACTCATATTGAGGCTCATTTGATGTATGAATTTAAGCTCATATAAGTCGACATTCGTAGGAAGGGAAACACACTCATATCGGACTCTTAAATGAGCTCATTATGAGCGTAATAGCTCCAAAATAGGACTCCTTAAAGACTCATTTATGACTCCAAATGTTTGCTGGGATGTGTTATTATACGCATACAAACGCGCGCGAGAATGCTCGATTCACTTAAACTCATATGTATGTATGTATGTACCTTGAAATAGTAAAAATTCTTTTCCTCCTCAGACATATCTTCCAAATTCACATTTATGCCCATATCCTTTAGGTCATCATCAATGTGGCTAGAAGTAAGGTATTTACATATATATTTATAAAGTAGCTCTTAAGTACAACTCTTCTTTGGTCCACAACTCACTGTTCTTCGTGCGTCAAATGCTGATCTACTTTACGTGTTCTTGATGGCTCACTACGTGGATGATGCGGTCCACGTTTAATGGTCAAACAAGGATCCATGGTTTGACTGAATGTGGCTATACATATTATAAAATTTACAAAATTCAACATTTTACACATTTTTACACAATCTTAAGCGCAGCTTGTTAACTTTCGTTGAAATTTTACAATATTTCTTCGTTTATAAAACTATTTATTGAGGTCGAGTTATTTTTTATTCTCACTGCAGTGAAAATCTGCAGGCGTGTTTTTCGCTGCCACTAAAATCAATAAAGCATTCGCAGCGCAATGAACGGGCGGCAGTGCGCATGTCACGCAAATCTGTTTGACAGTTCTGAAACGCTAATTACACCCACAACAGGAAGGGTGTTGCTTTGTGACAGCCAATGGGGGACAGCTGTTGCATCGTTGTCAATGTGACACTTGCTTATCGCGCAACAGGAATGTTAAAGCTTAAGTGCCAGTATGCTTCCAAACCTTTCGAACTTATTCCATTTTGTTGCTGCAGCAACAAACGTTTGTTATGTCAATCAAATTCCATTTGAAAGCTTTCTACAAAACGCGCAAGAGAATACAAATTCTGACTTTTGGCAAATAATTGTGTACACTTTTTTAAGAGCGTAATCCACTCGTCCTTGCAGCGAAATAAATTCGTATTTCCTTCGTTTTTTTTGGGTCACAAATTGTTGCATTAAATACAAAGTAATTAAAGTACCGCGCAAACTTTGATTTTATGCAGAAATGTGTGAACACTACTGTGACGATTTGGATACTTTTAATCCAGAAAAAGAATACCAAAAATTTTTGAAACGTAAACCCATCATACAAACGGCTAAGTTGTATGAGCAGCTGCACACGCGTGAGAAGATCAAATGCCCTTGTACGTCTGGAAATTGTAATATTCTATGTGTTCAATTTTGTAAACAATGCTTTTTTCTTCTTTCAGACAACTTTAAAGGCTATGGCGTTGAGACAGACAAGAACACCATGTATCGCACTTGCAATTCAGAGTATGGTTACTACGCACCCAATGCCTACACAATACCTACGCGCTACTTTCCACTCTCCCAGAAATTCTCCAATGAACTTCAACGTTGCGGCATGTACCGCAATTTCTCGCTCAACACTCTAATGGATCGCTCCTATTTCTGAGCGCACATGAAGGTTGTATAGCTTTTTGGTTTCTGAAATGCCAAGAATGTGCGTAAGAGGCTTACCTACTTAACACAAGTAGTATGAATAAATCTTTTCATATAAATTAAATAATGTAATAAACTAAACTATCTAACTTCTATGTATCAATAAAACAATATCCCGACAGCTACTAATTCTGTGCATGGTTGTCAAGTGCTAAAGGGATTTCGCTCCACCTCTTTTTTTTAGTGGCTTAGAACTTACCTTTTTTGGTCACAAATTCAATAACATTTATCACATATCGTTACCTAAAATGTAAAAGGCCGTAACGAACAAGAAATTCAAAATCTAGTTTGTGATTGATTATGATGCATTTTATCGAATTGCGAGTTCGCACAAGTTGTATTCTTCTTATTCTTTGTATTATGCAGAAAATAAAAGTTTGTTAGTTATGGATTTTCGCATTTCAGGTGACAATATATGTATGTATATTTACATTAGACCACGCCTAAAAAAAAAAATTAAAATCCTGCAATGCGACCGCCATCTGACTAAGACTTTAGTAGTTGGTATAGTTATGATCCTCCATGCATCCTCCCTCTCTACAAATAACTGTAAGAGGTCGCGCATCGATTAATAATTTTTCTTGTAGGAATTACACTTAAGAAAATAAGTGATTCACTTTTGAGGCCAATATAATTTGTGTGTGCCGCTATATATATACATATATATAGACAGTACATATTTTAAAAAGCAGACCAATTGGCTCATAGATCTTCCGATGGAAATACCCATATAGTTACATAAGTGATACACATTTTTGGCTTCGTTTTCTGCATAAACATTCGCAGTCTGGTCTTGACAAAGGGATCTATTTTCGCCAATTTTTATATTAATGAAAAGCTTAGAAATTTTGTCCAACTCATTGCCAGGAACACTGACTTCTATACAAATTCACTGCATTAATCAAAAAGATCAAAATACTTTATTGCAGTTAATTGCATATAACTGCAGTGGGTAGTGACTGGACATACAATTTTAATATTTTTTTTTATCGGGAAGGCCTCTTTCAATTGGTACTATAACATAAAAAATTATTAAAAAAAAATCCGAGATCAAAAACCCAAATGCGGTCAGAATTAAGCTGGAATTCCAGCTACGCATTTTCGTTTAATTGATTAGGTTGTCCAATTGAAAGAGTATCGATTGATTGAATTCCTGGATAATTGGACCAAAAATTGCGGAATTTTTCAACTTTAATTAATCATGGAATACTGTAAATAAAATAAAATAAAATCTAATATCGCTGGCTTAGACTAAAATGTTGATGAGCCCACTTTTAATGAAAACTCATATTTTGATATAGGAAGCAAGGGATATTAAAAATGCATCGGTTCGAAAAGGATTAAGGTACTTGTATAATTTTTTTCTCATTTCTATTCAATGAAAAGCAAATTTTCTTAGTCCAAAAGAGGCACCGAAAATCCGACAAAACCGAAATAATACCAGATTTTTTAATAAAGATCGAATTCTCCCTATTCGTATGGAGTTTTGCTTTGCTTTAAACACACAAAATGTTGTACTCGCAGACTTGCGAAATACTTAAAGGAAAGGGCTATACGAATTTTTTCCTCCTATAAAATTAAAAAAATTTTACTTAGCAACTTTGTAATGCTTGTAATTAAAATTTGTATTGGTAATTTTAAGAATTTTTTTTTGTATAATAGGGCTACTTGACTTCATGATAAAAATATAGTAAGGTAGAACCGCTGAGAGTCACTTTTAAAATTCTTGACGTTTCCAAACAATTTAATTTTTAAATTTACTCACAAACTCACACACACATTTTCATTTTCAATCTCAAGCAACAACAATTTCGTACAATTTCAATTTTTTATTTTCACTTTTATATGATTTTAAAATGTTGGCAAACTTCAAAAAAAAATCATGGCCGACAAATTGAGAGAACGGTTATACCTTGCTATGTTTTTATCATGCTTGACTTCGCCTTACAATGGCAGTGAATGAGGTTGTTCACACTGTCCTGCTGATAGCTTATCTGGTTAAAAATTATTATTGTGTAGTGTATTTCATTGTTGTAAGCTGAATAAGTGTGAACAACCTCAATATTTTCTTATTGCAACAGTAGAAAGGAATACTTCCAAATCCCTAAAATTTCCAACGCAAGTGAAAAATTCGGTTACTTAATGAAATTTATTCGCTTGAAAGTGAATATCCCTATTCAAGCATATATTTATTTGTCTTGAACTTTGGTTGACTTTTTGTGCGCTACCTTATCTTTCAAGCAACATTTCATAGCCATTCTACAAAATAAAATAGTAAAAATTAAAAAAAAAATAGAACAAAAAACTTACACATTCGATAAAAATTCAAATTTCGTATACAATCAGCAATCGGATAGACAAACAGTTAGGCAATTACATAACGCATGCAGCACGTCCAACTGAAAAGCCCCAAGAACAACAACAAGACTAACAACATGAGGTATGTTTTACGCAATGCCGAAACCGAAACTGATAAGCCACAATCAAGGCAAAATTTCCAAATCTACTTCCAAGCATTTACCCACGCTTTTAATTATTTACCTTTCGTTATGCACAGCGAGTTAAAGCAATTGTTAAGCGCACTATTGTGGGACATTTACGGCAAACAACGAAGAGAGCAACATTCGCGTCGCTTTGAAAAATATTACGGTATATTTAGTAAGGACGATCCTGATATGGCCGATTTTAGTTCGTTAAAATTTGCTAGCAGCGCTAAGGATTTGGAACATTTGAGTGTCCGCAGGTTAATCGATATTTGTGCGATCCTCAAGGTTGAGATACGATTGATGGGTTACTTTCTGGAACGTGTGCTGATTTCGCGGGAACGCAATAGGCGGCATCAAGAAGCATTAAGTGCCTTTGTGGATGCGTTGCTGTTCGTCCGCTTTCGTAAGTAGGAAATAATTTTTGTCTTTTTATTAAATCTGATTAGTTCAGCTCAAAGTGTTCATTAAATTTTTTGAAGATTACTAGTAATGGCTATGGATACTAACGGTAAATATTGTACGATAACAGGAAGCATAAATGATCACTATTCCATATAACTATCTTACTATGTATGTATATGGCACAAATAATTTGGCCACTAAAGTGATAAAAAAAAGTCGCATAAAGCTAAAGCTTAACCCAAATATTTTGCCTATTCTCTTCAAAATTCAATTCAACCAAGTAAAGAAGTATAAGTTCGGGCGCAAACTGTACAACTGTAAAATACATGATAGGCAGAGATGTTTTCCCAATTTCAAATAGTTTCGATAAATGCTATATCAGACTTATTGAAATAATTCGACTAAGTATGATGGAAATCAATAAAGCTGCTACCGATATACACTTACACACATGCATATGTAGTCAAAAGTCGGTGGAACCACACCCATTTTCCAAAAATCTATAATCTTGTTTCTTATTAAGGAAACTTTGTAAGCATTATCTTTTACTACCAATGAAGAAAACGTGATTTATGTTTAAAGTTTAAAATTGGATTGAAAACTAAGAAATAGATATTTTTATTTTTTTATTTTATGTAAATTTTTGTAAATAAGTAATTTTTTTTGGAAAATTGTCCTGCATTTTCAATCCACATTTATGGTCACCGTTACTCACACGTAATATACGAGAACGGTGTGTCGTATGAGTAACATTATTTCCTGGCCCTATTTCTCACAAAAAATTATTGCACATTTTCATTTAACCATTCAGAAAAACAAGTTTTAATAAAAATTGTAAAAATTACAGAAGATTTGTTATTTTTTTGCTTGTTAAAGTTTAAATTTTTTTTCATAAAAATTAAAATATCTTTGGAAAATGACCTGACCCGGAGAGATGGTACACAGATCCGTAATATATGTCAAAATCTTAAGTTCAGGTGTTTCGACGTTTTTTTTTTTTGAGTAATTTCAAAGTTTTTCCTTACAGTGTTTGCACATTTTATAAGCAGCACCATATACATCCATATTTTAAACTTTGTACAAAACTTATATAAAAGGTCAACAAACTTTACTAAATACACCCGAAAATTTCAAAGTTGTTAATACTCAATACTCGGCAATATCTTTTATATGGAAGAAAATGTTTACCACCGCCAGCAAACAAAAAAAAAACTACAAATAAAAATCAGCACGATTTTCTAGCGTCTTGAAGTTTACACTATATCCTACTAAAATTAAATGGACTATAAAATTGCATTCTTAAAATTTTTCAAACAATTTTGAATAAAAAAAAAAATTTTGGGTGTGATTTGTAAAGTATTTTTTTAATTTTTATAATTTTTGTACAAATGTGGATTTTGGTGCTGATCATACTATAATTTGCTAGACTTTTATAAAAAAAAATTAATAATCGTTAAATGAAATGAAATGAAAGAAAAATAGCCGATTTCACTTAACTTAATTAGCTGACCCAAGGATATGTATTTAGATGAACATATCGCATGATTAATAATAATGACAATTATTTCATTATTTCACATCAAATACAGAGAATTACTTATTTAAAAAATTTAAATTTTCGGGAAAACGATATCACATTTTGGTCAATACATACAGTGATATGCTGAGTATCCAATACTTTCGATATTCGGTACCGATATGTTGAAATTTCTAATACTTCAGAGCGAATAACAGTAAAACCAAAATGGAATAAACGCAGTTCAGGAAAGCTATGGGGCTAATAGAAAATATAATCATACTTATAAAGCAGTGATTCCCAAAGTTGTCCAGGTGGACCCCCAGTGATCCACGGGTGACTCGCCGGGGGTCTACGTTGGCGTGAAAAAATATGGGGGTCCACAAATTGTAAGTGGGTATCCATGAAAATTTATCTGGTTTCGATAGTAAAGAATCAATATCGTTGCTTGATAGCCTCATTATCTAACAATAATTTTTTTGAGAGGCGTATAGGCTCGTGACTAACTTTGTGT